GGGACAAGGCAATGCTCATAAATGTCCCATATGCCAGGCGGCAAGAACAGGGCAGGCTACACCTCAATCTGAAGTGTCTAGGGAATGGGGCCCATTCAGCTGGCTCCCCCTTCTGGCAGCTACGTGTCATAGTCAGGAGGCCCAGGCCATTCCAGGAAGAGGGATCGAAGTAAACAAACGAAAACAGAGCTAGAAGTCACTTTGTTCTGTACTTATTACACATTGTCGAGACACAGAGATTACATTAATCAGCAGGATTAGGATCTTTTGTTTGCTGAATTGTGAGGTTGTATTGTGTTTGAGCAGCACTGCATGTTTTGAATAAATACAAAAGAGCATTAATGCCACTGGCTTGGGACTGAAAATCCTATTCAAATACATCAATAGCCAGATTTACAATTACGGTCCGTCTCTGGGTTTGTGTATCCTCTCACAGATCATGGCACCCAAACTCGCTAATTAGAGGTGATATATAATGACTATTTAAGGAAATCTTTTGTATTTGTGTTCCTCATAAGCATTTCTAGGGCAAAGGTCCTCATATCTCATTCTATATGGGTGAACCTTGTCGGCCATCACATATGGGCAGTAAACATGGTGTCTCTGCACCTCCAACTGTACCGAGTAACGTTAGCAGCCCTAAGGACGCTGAGCAGCACCTAATTAAATTAGGCTTCAACACTTTTCTGTTATGAATTAACCTACATTTAATCAAAGGGCACTAAAGTATGCAGGCCAGTTAAATATGCAAGCAAGTGCTGCTGAAGCAGAATGAGATCTGTCAGAACAAGTCTTGCTTTAATTAGGACTTTGGTCAGAACCTTCCCTGAGTAGAGGCTTAGGTGGGAGAGGGCCAGATATAAAGGCCATTTAGATCCATTTAGTCTGTTGGAAAAGCACATTGTGGCCACAGAGGTGACGCATACAGGAGGAGGGTGGGAGATGTGACACATCCTCTGCTGCGCCCCATTGGCTAAAGCCCCCGAGAGTCTTCTGTACGTGAAGCCTACAGCTTAAACACCCCCGTCCTGCCTTCTGTTACTGTAATATGTGTCCAGTAGCTTGAAAAACTATTAAAAGGGGTCTCCTTCCTTGAACATCTGGAAAAAAAAATGGCCTTTTCTTGATCATGACCCAAAGCAAGTGGAGGAAATGTCTTAACCTGGCGGTTTTTGCAGCTAATGACTGTTGGTGTGTCTCTAGCCCTGGGTACAGTAAGCCAATGGTGACTGCTTTTAAGGGGGCTGGACAGCACCTCCGTGGGGTCAGTCCTAACACACAGCTGACTCTACATGACTGATTACTTTACAGTAAGTGCCCTAATTTCATGGACTCTCCAGTTGCCTCCATTCTGCACGCTCATGTGCTCTTGTAGGGGTCATAGCCGCTGATAGACCATGAGGAGACACTTTTGGAACCACAAGGATCTGTAACTGAAAGCCGTCCTGGAGGAAATACCGATCAGCATGCATAGGTTCCAATGCGAATTCCATCCCTTAACCTGATGCCTTAGCGCTTGCCGTTCAGGTTCCGGTTACCGTGGCAACCTCGGCGCGGTCACAGTCAGTGATTTCTTTCTTCTGCAAAGAAGCTGGAGATGAAGCACCAACAAAGCTTTCAATTACACTGGATTCAGACATGAAATAATCCTAAATAATAACAGTAATATTAAAATGATAACGGTGCACTATCAAAACCTGCCAAATCCCGGGAAAAGAATGGAAGAAGCAAAGAAAGCTAGATAATTTCAAACAAAATTACGCTTTATTTAAATGGAAAAATACATTAATCACTTTTTTGTTGATTTTCATAAATACATCTTGAAAGCGTTCTCTTATTACCCTCAATTACGGCTGTACAATTAAATTTGTCTTGTAAAGAATTGTAATGTTTGTTTGTATTTCCATGAACGGCAATGTCAATCTTCCCAAAGCCAATCAAGAAAATTAATCCTTTGCCTCGTTTGTATTTCCTGGCATATGCTTTGACAGGATGTCTTTAGACAAGTATGACTGGTGCTCTAGCGAGTGCTCAGCCTATTGATGCAACATTTACCTACGCCTAAGTAATGAAGTTTATTTGCAATCAATGAAATGTTTGTTGCTCATAGATCTTTCAACAACAAAGGCATGAATCAACATAGGTGTCAGCTGGATTGGGTCTCCTGTGTCGTGACAAGGCCTTGCGTCCATGGAAATGGGCTTTCCGTCATATGCGTCAACTCTTGGGGGTACCAACAGACGGCAAGACAGCAGTTAATATCTGGTGTGCCACCGGTTTGCCGTTTGTCTGAATTTGAAAACCTGATGGTGACATCATATGCCTTCTCCTGAGGAGGAGACACCAGAGAGCATCAGCAGAGGAGAGGATGCTTGCAGGGAAACTGTGGCCCAAGCTCATGGCTGCCATTAAAGCAGACGCCACACCTGGGTGCATGTTAGACTGTACAATCTATTTTAACCCTTAAACGTGGTTAAAGTAGACTGGTTGTTTCCGATGGGAGTCTGGTCTCCTTAACTGCTCTCACGCTGCCCCTGCATTTGGCGTCAATAAGAACCCTCAGATGAGGCATGGAATGTTCACCCAGTCCCTCAAAATTTCACATCATCGCTGGGACATCCATCCCTTTCAAACTTTTTTTGTTTTGTGGTCCAGGGAGACATGTGGAGGCCCCCAGTTTAATACGACACAGCAACTGGAGCTCAGAACGGACACTGCAGTCACATGTGACAAGCAAAATTCCAGTTGCAATATCTGCAGTGCTTACGTCAGAGGGCTGCGCCAATCTGTGGGTGTCGATGTCGCTATGCACTGCATGTAGTTCGAAGGAAGCCAAGCAGCTGCCGTGCACATCACAGTGCGTCAGCTCCCACATCACTGCTCTCCACTGTGAGTTGCAGACTGGTGTCACCATCCATCAGAAGATAAAATGCTTGGGGGCAGACAGCCTCATGGAGTGACTGTTTAGTCTGTTGAATGTGTTTGCCCCTGAGAGCAGTGGGGTGGGAAATCGAGGGCGCTGCGCACTGCAGTTCAACGTGCGCCACACCCAACTTGCAAATCTCACGCGTCCCCACCCCTTACCATCACAAAAATTGGAGGGAGACTGACCACATGCCTGAAAGCATCAGCTTGAATGAGCTTCAGCCTGGTCTTGGACATCGTTCATCGCAGGTCAGTAAGTGGGAGGAGGTCCTGGGGGTGACAGGGACCCACAGCAAATACCTCAGTGGGACCTTTTACTGCTCGGCGGTGATGTGGTTAACCTGTGATGCTTCTCCCACTTTGACCTGTCATCTCTCCTTAGTGCTTAAGGGGGATGTGTTATCTGAACAATTCCCCTTATCTGCACTGCTCTCAGCTGCCTGGGCTCTGGGACTCTCCCATTCTTGTGGTTATGACTTGCATACAGCCCCCCTGAAAACTGGCAGAGTGTGAATCTAGCTCACTGGCAAAATGAACATAGCATTGTTTTGGCCTATCCTGTTTTAAGCCTACAGTGTACTGCGGAGCAGATTTCACCACCTTACAGCAGGAGAGTAAATCTATTGTTGCATTTGACATTTTCAACATTGTTATTTTCTTTTAAATGAAACAACATTAATTAGCCAAAGATAAAGAATTGTTTAATTACTGCAGTAGTCTCATTACCTGAGCTAAACTCTAAAGAGTCCTGGATGTAAGCGTATTGGGAACTGCTGATTTGGTAGCTTTTGAGACAAAGGGAAATTTCCCAGGGCCATCGCTTGGATTACGCCTGTCTGTGTGAAAGTGCGTCTGCTGTCAGCATGTAGAGCTTTGTAAGGGGGCCACACTCAGCTTAAACGACACACTTCCCCAGGTAAACAACATTTTGCTGGGTGTTCCATTCCTAGATATATCACACATATAACGCACATATAACACACACATTGTATAATAAAAGAACTGGTAAGAAAGCACTCGCGTTCTCAGCACACACACGCTCAGACGGAACGACTCACAGCCCAGTCCAAGGCTGGGGACCTTAATGGCATGCCCCCTTTTCACAAAGTGGGGGGGGGGGCATTGTCCTCCGTGGGTAGGTGTCTCTAAATCCATGTTCAGAGTGACTCCGGCCCAGGTAAATACACATTAATTACAGGCAGATGCAGAGCTGAGAGTCAACCCCCCCTCCCCCCGCCCCGCAAGGTTACCAACAACCTAGGTTACCCCTCAGTCCGGCCTCATGCAGTCTGATTGAAGCCCTTATTACGCACTGTAGGACAGCACGTCGATGTGCAGCCAATGTTCCGTGAGCTCTTCTTTGCAAATGCCTCTTGGCAATATGCTCCAAAGCAACCCTTTATTACAGGGAGAGTCATGCACACAGGCCACACAGATGCCCAGTACCAAAGTGACCTGATGGGCTCCTTCTGCTAAGCTCAGGAGCCTCATTGGCTCTGTCTGGGTGCCTGACCCGTGGTCGTTTATTTCACACCACCGATTCAGTCAGCCTGGGTAAAACCAGAGGTGCAGTTTTACAAACTAGTAATTGGAGTTCCGAGATTAAACAAAGAGTGGGGAGGGATGGGGCAGAGTGTGGGATACGCTGGAGCAAAGAGCACGTTAGGGCAGAAAAGCCCTTCAATGGAACACTCTCCTGTCTAAATGGGGACTGGTGAGGCAGCCCAGCCGGGTCACCTGTAAGGTTCCTCCACACGGTGGGGTCACTGAGGGCATCGCCATGGTAACACAGCAAGGCTGAGAGGGACCAGTGTATCCTCCAAGGGATCCAGCGTGGGTTCTCCAAGGAACAAGGACACAGCCTTTGTGTATTGGTACATTATTGGAGTTACTGAGAAAAAATGTATAATTAAATTATAGTTACTAAATGTTGACTACAAAGGGGTTACATCCAAATATATTTTTTTCGTTAAAAAGCTTAGAATATAACATTCATTCAGTTGCTTTGCATCTTTTCACTGTAGATAAATGCCTTCTTTTGGCATATTTCCAGACAATGTGGATCAGCAAATCTGTTGGGACTTCAGCTTTATTGCCCAGTTTAAAACGTTTGCTTGAAAAGTAATCAAAAAGTAATCAAATCTAATAAGTAACATTACTTCGATGAAATAATCAAGATAGTTACAGTACTTATTACACTTTCAACAGGGTAACTAGTAATCTGTAACCTATTACATTTCAAAAGTAACCTTGCCAAGACTGCTTGTCAGTATGTGTCAATTTGTGAGCATATGCACCAAGGGCGTATGTTTTGCTTCAACATTGGTAGGGACCAAATCAGCCCTGCACCTCTTGCCCCCCTAACTCTTACAAAACTCTACAAAAATTATGTTACTATGAGAAGTCTCCTGACATGTGCCTTTGGGGCACGTCTCTACCGTCCATACCCAAATCTACGCCATTAATATCCATGGATTTTGGTGTTGTGGCAGTATGAGTATGAGCTGGCTTTTCTCGATTACTGCAGCCATTTATCCGAGTCCTCTTCCATCATCAAACTGTACTACCTTACCTAAGACGCAAACCAATGTGACATTTTTCATGTTCTGTTTACACCCTACATTGCTTTCCATCCTCTAAATGTACGCCCCCTGAAAACCCCCTGACCTTGACGTCAGAAACAATGGTTCACACACTTTGTGGGTGTTGGAGTCTTGACTGGGAAAATGACATTTTGTGAAATCTTCTCCCACATCGATTAACAGCAGACAATCACACAGCCCGCACTTCCATCAAAGAACTTAGTCCACATGAGGTCGTGGTTTAATGAGTCTGATACACTGGTGAGGCATTCCTGAGTCAATTATTAAAATCAGGTCTCAAATGACAATAAAACCTTTCATTCACTTTTCATGCTCTCACTTTGGCTTTGAAGTGATTTGTTTTACGGGGAAGAATCTCCACTGTAGTGCAACTTTAAAAAGAACTGAAGACCGTAAGGTTAAAAAGCAGCAGAGATAAAGTCTCTCGACGGTGAGGGGTCCTTCGCAGGCAGAGGCAGCCCCAGAGGCAGAAACTTCTCCACCAGAGACAACGGGGCCGGGCTGCGTAGGCTGTGGTTGGCGTGCTCCTCTTCACCCACGAGTCACCAGCAGCTCCTGGATATGGGGCAGAGCAGGAACCAATCACAGCTCTGGTTAGGTCAAAGGGTTACAAAATTGCTTAGTTTGCCCCAACACTGGTAAGCCAACCACACATATAAGACATATGGCATAAGAAGAGGAGGTCTGTGTCGAAGCTTGGTGACGCCACGTTCATCCCGGACTGAGAGCGGAGTCCTGCCTTTCCGTCACGCTGATGGGTAATGGCATAGTGTCTCCCTGGCAGTCTGTCCGGCTTAGTGAAAGGGCCAACCACACGCAGACCCGGAGAGATTAATGCACTGGATGCGTCAGTATTAGGCAGGAAGGATGTTGATATGGCCGGTGCAGTCTGTCACGAACAAACATCGATCTCCACTGTAAAGCTGGCCAGCTCACTGTGTCAACTGGGAGCCAGGGAGATAAGTAACATGAGTAAACACGCCGGCCCCCATAAAGGTGAGGATCGAGCCACACACGGAGTACAATGAACCAGGATGCATATGGACAGCAGTAAGGACAGTGCGTAAAGACAGTGTGTAATGATGGTGTGTAAGCACAGTGTGTTAGGACAATGTGTAAGGACAGTGCATAAGGACAGCACATAGGAACAGTTAGGACAATGTGTAAGGACAGTGCATAAGGACAGCACATAGGAACAGTTAGGACAATGTGTAAGGACAGTGCATAAGGATGGCATGAAAGGACAGAGTGTAATGATGGTGTGTACTTGTAAAACCAGCATATTTGTGTGGAGAAACCAGATTCCCAAAAACGATCAATGCATTTCCCCCTCACCTTTTTAACCAATTTGCATGCCAGTCTTCTGATGGGAGAGATGCGAATACTACTGCAGTGGAACAGATGCAGCCCCCAGATGCGGAACGACCACAAAACTCGGCATGGGAGTGTAGCGGATGGAAGAGAGCGCAGGATTTTCCGGAGAGCTATCATCATTTTCATTTGGCTCATCCTAATAATCAGTTTCTGAGTATGGCAGGGCAGAAGGTTCAAGTGCTGCTTTTACAGGCAGGCGTGAAAATAACTCGGTGAAGCACAAATGGCTAAGGACTCTCCAAACCACACTGGCTAATAGCGGAAGGCAGCTCAGTCTGAGGATGGCAAGGAGCATGTTTGCTTGGGGATGACATTTTTTGGAAAACAGTGAAATTAAAAATAAAACTGCTCTATATGATAAGGAAGGTAATTTGAATTTCCCCAGGAACAGACGCAGGAAATGCCAGCGTGAAGCATGTGCGGACGTATCATGAGCCACCCTTGTGCTTGGGCAAGACGGAGAAATGGCGATTTGCAGGAGAGACTAAAAGCATTACCCATCATGATGGACATGGGCAGCTTTCAAATCCCCTAATCTTGGACATCTATTCATGAGGAACCGGGCTGAGGGACAATCGAGGGGCAGAGTGCCCGACAGCAGCAGGTTTGATTAAGGGAGGAATCCGCCGTCATCCGGAGCTGTTAATAAACAGTGAGCGCGGGGAGCCTGAGTGATGGTAGCTGCCTGGGCATTGAGCACGGCGACTCAATTAGGGTGAAAAATCTCAGTGCCGGCTCCCCTGCCATCTGACCTCGTGCTGCTGGCCTCTGGTCGAGGCGGCTCAGGAAGAAGTGATGGGTTTTATTGAGTGTCTGCGTGACGTCGGGACACCCCCCTGGCTCGTGATGGTCGGACCCCCCCCCCCCATCCTTTCAGGTGCAGACTGATCTGCTGAAGCATTCCAAGTCTCAGCTTGGTGACCAGTCTCTGTGGGGCTGCTGCAGATACAGCCCAAAACCTGATTGGTAAATAAAAGCTGCAGCAATCCTCCAGTGCACTTGGCGCGGGAGGAACCACAGTACTGCCATGGGGGGCATTTCTGGCTCACTCAGCATAGCCACACCCACCCAGACCCTGAGGAACAGTGCTATATGGCTGCCGTTAGCTGCAGCGTTTAGCCACATCGCTAAACCGAATAGCGTTACAGTGCATACCAACTCCAGCCTGCTTACTCATGGTAGACGAGATCATCACAATCACTCTCAGCAGCTCCCGGGCTCCTCTCTGGCATGTGTGGCACGCGCAGCCCTCTGGCTGCAAGGCAGCTGGAAGGAGCGTGGCGAGGAGGCGACCTTCTGCTTCGCGAGCCCTTCCAGCGGGAGCTGCAGTGCCCCCGAAAGGTCAGCGGGAGAGCTCAGCGCGATGGCCGCGCCGTGACCTTTCCGCGATAATCCCATCTGGGAGCTGGCCTCGGCAGGTGGGGACCAGGGAGGAGGGGCGAGCGATGCAATCAGCAGCCGCCAAAGGTCATTGTGTTTAATTGGCAACATACTCCGGGAATGGAAGCGTCTCTGATACAGGCACAGTCTACGAGAAGGAATAACTCACTGCTGTTTGCTGAGAGTTTGATGAGAGGGGAGATTAAATAATTAGCTGGCTCAGAAAGTGTTATAAAACAATCAAGAGCACAATTTATTTGATCTTAGATCCCCAGCATCTTTCAAAAAGAGAAAATTCATAATTAGTTCTAAGTTTTCCATAACATCAGAAACATTTAGAAGATTTTAAAGACTCTTCAGAAACATGAGTTGTGCAGTTTACTTAGATTAATAATAACAGGTACCCGAATTACCCATCACACCACTGTGGGGACGCATGTCACGCGTTGCCCCTCTCATGGTCTTTGGTGCCTCCTCCAGTCACCCCCCCACAACCACGCACACACACACAAACACACACAGAAACCCTGATTCTCTTCCTCGCACCTCTTCTGTGAGAATCCAATTCAGGAAAAGGCTAAAATGCTCTCAGCAGATTCAGCACGCAAGACATGAAAGATGGGTGGGCGGGGGTGACAGGCCACCTCGGGGGGGGGCACAGGCTTCGTCCTCATTAGTGTTACTAGGAATGCGGCTCTGTTGCTAAGCAAGCTGCCCAGCTTGCCGGAGGCGGACAGGGGGAGCCCCACGGTGGCCTGAAGGCCGGACTGAGAGCAGGGGGGCACATGCTGGAGGAGCACTCTGAGAAAGTGAGGGGGGGCACATGCTGGAGGAGCACTCTGAGAAAGTGAGAGTGGGGGGGAAATGCTGGCGGAGCACTCTGAGAAAGTGAGGGGGGGCACATGCAGGAGGAGCACTCTGAGAAAGTGAGAGTGGGGCACATGCAGGAGGAGCACTCTGAGAAAGTGAGGGGGGGGCACATGCCGGAGGAATGTTCTGGCTCTGACTCAAAATGTAATAAATATTTGAACAAGGCCAGGAAACTTCCAATTTCTTCTCCCCTTGCCTGAGCAGACTGGCTCCTGAACTCACAGCATCTCACTCGCACTCTGCCGGCTGTTGTGCTCAATCTCCTTTTCTTACTCTTTCTCTCTCTCTCTCTCACACACACACACACACACACACACACACACAGAACACGCATTTCATCTCGCTATCTCACACATGCACGCATGATGCATGCTTACAAGTGATACATTCTCAGAAGTCCCCAGGCTACACCTGACTGTACTTTCCCCATGAGACTGACACACAACAAGGCTCAGCAACGAATGAAGAACGGCAGATGGGCCCCTAAGCGGTGTAAGGTGAGGGAGGGGGAAGCAAATAACCAGCCTTTATTGGACAAGACCAAGAGCTCCTCAAAGGAGACGTGAGAACATATTCTATACATACATGCTGGGCTATACTCCACTATACTCCTATTGCATCAAGCAGGCCAGGCAGAGAGGCAGTGTGCTTCATGGTGCGTGTCAAAAAAACAGCAGTGCACATAATGCTCCCCCCATCCAAATGAAAAGGGCCAGAGCCCTCAGACAAAAACAGCACATTCCGGAACATTCCAGCTGCTAATTAAAGGGAGGACAGAAACAGCATCACGCCCATGCTTCATTTTGGACAATAAAGGAGGGGGAGCAGCTGAGACAAGCCAAACTGCTGTCCCACAATTCAGTGCTGGATCTCATCAAAGATGGAAACTCCTCATAATGCAACAAGTGAGTGCAAGAATAGAAAAAAAACAGAGCAGTGTGAAGGGACTGAAGTCACTGTTGCTTTGTGTGAACAGTCCCATAGAAATAAACAAGTTATTACTACACACACGGTGCATCCACAGTTATATGTTATGCTGTATTAGTTCTTCACCAGCTGAGGCTGGCTAGCACAGTCAATAAACTCCTCCTTTTCTATACCCTCTATGTTTTTTTTTTAATCTGTCCATTAATGTGGCTGTTTTTCAGCTATCAAAGCCTCCACAGATCCAGGAGGATTCACTGCTTTTCCTAAAATAACCTGTCGCACTGAGCAGGTCCAGTCAAAAGGAGGAGAAATGGCAGGGGGATCATCATAATTTAAATCACTTCATCATCATCTCACTCCACGCAAGTAAGAGTGAAGTGCTCCAATAGAGGAGATGTGATCAGCAAGCCGCCAGATTGTGACAGACTAAACGCTGATATTGGATCATATCATGCTGGGTTAATGGGCAGCTCAGTCATCATTATTGCAGAGCGAGGCAGTGCAGCGTCTGGCTGGGGAATCGAAGGAGCTCCTGCGGTCCTGCTCTGCTTCCAACGAGCCCAGCTCTGCCCTGGCGGACAGACCAGCTCTACGCTTCAGCTTCCGTCTTGGAAACGCAAACCCACTCGCCTTCAGAACAGCAGGATGATGCACAGACGCAGACATGCAGACAGTGTGGAGACTACACTCTCAATACTCTTATAGGATGCGTAACGCCAGCAACACTCAAAAACTTGTTTTGGCATTTTTAGCACTATTTTTAAGAAGATGACATTTTATTGCAATAGATATGCCCCGACAGTCTATTTTCAGGTGTAAATGTCACTTTGGGTCAACAACACATACACAAATATACCCAAAGACACAGATGCAGCACGCAGAGGCTGTTCAGGCACTGGTCCTGATTGGCTGAGAGGGTGTCTCACACAGTAAGTACAAGGCCCTGGACCTGTGGTCACACAATTACATGGCTCTGACCTTTAAATCCAAACGACAGGGAGGTT